TACAATGAATATGATCATAAGCATTGTTTTGTCAATTCCGATCCATATTTTCTATGATGGAATGAATTTCTGAACTTCAACATGTAAGGACATGTACATTACCATGGGTATATGATCTATAATCATCAGACATGAGACAATACACTATCAATATTTCATAAAGCCAATGTAGGTGTTTTGGTATATAATGGTCATATGAATTGCATGTAATTTATAGAAAAGTCATGTTCATTGTTTTTCAGCGTAAACTTATGAAAATGTAGACATTTTAGAAGAAATTGTGCTCCATCTGTAAACAACTACTAGATTGCATGTCCAAAATTGATCAGAAAATCCCATTTGCCACAATGATATAGAGCCCACAATAGTACAACATTGAAATGAAATTTCATTTAATAGAAATGGCAAACATCAATTTTGATTATAAAGTTTGAGTTAAATAGTTTAAATTTAGAAAGAAATTACTTTTGAAAGTTAAAGTATTTAACTCATATTGACATCATCATCATTAGCCTCTGTGTATATACTTTTGTTATCAATCAATTTTGCTTCTTGGTGGCATTCCAGATTGGCAATAGAACTTGACTCAGGAATGAATTTTTGTTTTCCTTTATTGAACTTTCCATTCTGTTTTTAATACCATCATCAAATACACCGTACCTCTTGTTGGCAAATGATATCTGTTTTTCCATGCCGACAATGAGTGACTTACCTATCTTACAACACCAATATATGTCAACTTTTAAAGAGCCAAGTGTGGATATTAAATAAAAAGAATGAGGAGCTTGGGATCTAAAATCACAAGGTTTAACATGGCATTTATAAGCCTCGTTTTCACTAATGAGGAGGTTGGGATCTAAAATCATGAGGTTTAACATGGCATTTATAAGCCTCATTTTTACTAATGAGGACATTGGGATCTAAAATCATGAGGTGTAACATGGCATTTATAAGCCTTGTTTTCACTAACAAGGAGGTTGGGATTTAAAATAATGAGGTTTAACATGGCATTTATAAGCCTCGTTTTCACTAAATACTGATAAATCTGGTGACATTATGTGTGAAATTCTTCATGGAAGCAACATTTCTCTCTGTGATGTGCCTTATCTTCCCTCAGGACAAGCCCTTTTACTTATTCTGGTCACCGGCAGCCAATAACTGCACAATCGCTAAAGGCTGATCTTAAGTAAACAATCAAGAAAGCTAATATGATTAATTGCATTTATCAAATGATGTTGTTGCTGTTGTTCTGGGGCTTAACGCCATTTTTTAGCACATGATAGGCTAGACATGGCAGCCAGTATTAATGGTGGAGGAAGAAACCACAAAATCTGCAGAAAGAGCCACCAACCCACGGGAAGCTACTGGCAAGTTTTCTCATATCCACATTCGCTGAATCTTAGACTCAAACCCATGCAGACAGAGGTGAGACGGCAGTGATCTGTAACGGAGAGCACTTTAGACCATGAAGACATCAGACTTGGAGCATTGTGATCTTGCCACCCTACTTTTAGCCCAACAATTAATTAACTGTTGAAGTTTGATGATTGCACACAATTAACTTTGGTGTTAAAATTAATAATAAAGCGGAAAATCTTCCAATGAAGATTCAAAGAGTAATCTCTTTCTCTCTCTGAAGACCATGTTGCAGTCTGATGCTAGTCATTGATTTTTGAATTTTGTTTTTTTTCAACAAAGAAGAAACAGCTTGTACCATAATTTATAGCTTGCTTCCTTGCATATTTGTGTTTTGGTCTAAACATGTACAGTGTTCACGACTAGGAGAACAATGTCTGTACACGTTTTCCAAAACATATAATTCTTTCTTTCTTGTTAAATCTTAGGTTTACTTATGTGTAGGAAAGATTTATAGGTGTCAAGGCTGCTATATCAATCATATAATTTTAATTTGGGGCCCCAAGTGGCTGAGTGGCTTCACCGCTATGGATCCCTACCATCTCACCTCAGTCTGCATGAGTTCAAGTCTCAGATTCGGCCAATGTGGTTATGTGAAAAAGTTTTCCAGTTGCTTCTCATCAGTCAGTGGTTTTTTCCACGGTTTTTCGGGGGTTTTCCTCCACCATTTATACTGGCTGCCATGGTTAACCTATCTTGTGCTGAAAAATGGTGTTAAACCCTACAACAACAACATAATTTTAATTTGTTCATGTTTCATAAATAGGTATATACAGTCAAGTGTATTTTATATATCTGAGACAACCACCCCCTTCCATGCCTACCATTTATTTTATGTAGCATTATCTGAATCTGCAGTGCATACTTGCACTTGGTGATCTGTATGTCATTCTCTGAAATTCTTTTTCACGTAAATAATTTAATTTGACGCCTCTTTCAAGCTGTTAAGTTTAAATTATGATGATTCTTCAGATTTTTACTGTAACTTGTCATGTTTAGGTACTGCTTAGAAAGCCATGTACTACCTACAGCCCATGAGCAGTATGCATCTACATGCCATGCTTACAACCTCCTTTCTTTCTTAGCCATATGCAATTAAATTAAATTATTTGCCAAAGATAATCATTATACAATTAACTCAGCTTCATTTAGCCTTCTGTTGTTTGGAATTTAGTGGAATTTAGGTTTTCCTGTGACCAACAAATTTGAGTTTTGTTAGCTTTTACATTTCATGATTTTTTTTCTCTCTGTGTATTTCACATTTTCACAATCAAAAATTGCATATAAATATAATTACATATCCTATGAGGTTGCAAGTTGCCGACATAGCAGGGCTTTTCCTTATTCCTCCATGGTCACTGCATTTTATGGAGAAATGAAAACTTTTAAACTGGAATGTACATACAAAACATGATCCTGTATTGCAGCTGGGCTTCCAGTGGTCTTTCAGGTCAGAGTTTAGAGTTATACCTTTACTTTAAAAGAAGCCAAGGAATATGCATGTCCTTAAAGGCCTTTAAATCCTTCTTGGAGGATGATGACTGTTAGTTGACCAAATGAATTAACCATATTATTCCCACTGATGACTGTTAGTTGACCAAATGAATTAACCATATTATTCCCACTGATGACTGTTAGTTGACCAAATGAATCACCCATATTATTCCCACTGATAACTGTTAGTTGACCAAATGAATCAACCATATTATTCCCACTGATGACTGTTAGTTGACCAAATGAATCAACCATATTATTCCCACTGATGTCTGTTAGTTGACCAAATGAATCACCCATATTATTTCCACTGATGACTGTTAGTTGACCAAATGAATCAACCATATTATTCTCACTGATGACTGTTAGTTGACCAAATGAATCAACCATATTATTCCCACTGATGTCTGTTAGTTGACCAAATGAGTCACCCATATTATTCCCACTGATGTCTGTTAGTTGACCAAATGAATCACCCATATTATTTCCACTGATAACTGTTAGTTGACCAAATGAATCAACCATATTATTCCCACTGATGACTGTTAGTTGACCAAATGAATCAACCATATTATTCCCACTGTCTGTTAGTTGACCAAATGAATCAACCATATTATTCCCACTGTCTGTTAGTTGACCAAATGAATCAACCATATTATTCCCACTGATGACTGTTGAACAAATGAATCAACCATATTATTCCCACTGATGTCTGTTAGTTGACCAAATGAATCACCCATATTATTCCCACTGATGACTGTTAGTTGACCAAATGAATCAACCATATTATTCCCTCTGATGAGTGTTAGTTGACCAAATGAATCAACCATATTATTCCCACTGATGACTGTTAGTTGACCAAACAAATCACCCATATTATTCCTACTGATGACTGTTAGTTGACCAAATGAATCAACCATATTATTCCTACTGATGACTGTTAGTTGACCAAATGAATCAACCATATTATTCCCACTGATGACTGTTAGTTGACCAAATGAATCAACCATATTATTCCCACTGATGAGTTACAATAGTAATGAAACTGGTCAGGGAAGGTGGTGACTGTCATCATCTTCCAAGTTTAAATGCAATCAGAAGTGACGGGGACCCTCTGCAGGAATCCAAATTACACGATCCCAAAACCAATGAGAGCCTGATGAGTCCATATGAGAGTGCATCAGCACCCATGTCCAGTTCCTCTAAACATACAGTTATCAGTAGAAATGAAACTTTGAACAAAAATAGAAAACTGGAAAAACCAGTTAGAGAATACCCAGAAGCAAAGCAATTGCTACTACCATCTCAATAAATTCTACTTTGTAAAGAAGCAAGAAAACTTCATTCAAAATGTGAAATTAAAAAAGGTGTCTGACAACCTCCAAGAGTGTGGCCTCAAAGGGACAATTGTACAAGGATTAGAATTTAATTTATGCCTGAGCTTCACTAATTTTCCTGATTTCGTTGTTCCAAGAAGCCTCAAAGAAACTAACCAGCCTGACATTCAACCACACACTTAACAAGATTTCATCTATTTACTCACCTGCATGAAATGTGGGAAACAATATGTAGGCATATATTCCAAGATAATGAATAAATTGGATGTTTGTACACATGTTTGAGCATTAACCCAACTTCTAGAAAAATTTTGAATGTAAAAAAAATAGTTCTTTAAAAAATGACTTATGGTCCACTAGGCAAAAAGAATTTCCAGGGAATCAAAATAATACCATTTCTTTTTTTATCTGCAAGGTGTTGAAACCATCTCATAGTCTTGAGTGATAAAAATTTTTTTATGTTCGCTGCTGTGGTACATATATTGGAATCAAGCTTGACACCAGTTTCATTTAGGAGAACTACTGTTCCTGTGTCCCAAGCAGTTATAGGTACCACATCAGATATGGGGGAAGTTGCAGGTTCAAACCCTGGCAATGTCACACCAAAGAATTATAATATGGTACTAGCAGCACAGCATTAAAATGTTAGTGTTAGGACTGCTTGGCCCATTGTCAGGATAATGTGGCTGAGTGGGACATAATGCTAAATGTCTACAACATGATGTCTCATTGCTAGATATTAATAAAAACTACTGCTCTGGTGACCTAGTGGTTAGAGCATCCACCTTGGATGAGGGAGGTCGTGGGTTCAATCCCTGGTTGAGTAATACCAAAGACTTACAAAAATGGTACTAACAGTTGCCTCGCTTGATGCTCAACATTAAGAGGTTAGTGTTAGGACAGGTCAGGCCTATTGTCGGGATAATGTGACTGGTTGGGACATCATGCCATATCTATGCGGTATGATGACCCAGTGTCAGACATCACTATAAACTACCACACTGCAGACATCGTAGCAATATGACTGAAATATTGTTAAAGCTACGTTAAAAATCATAATCACATCACATCACTTCAAAAACTACATACTGCAGACACATTGTAGCGACATAGCTCAAATTGTTAAAGTAAAAAATCCAAAACACATACATTCAGAACAAAGCAGACATCATTAGAAATCTTTTGGAAAACCCCATATCATAATGATTATTAATTTAGGGGAAGTAGTGACAGCAAGATTATTATGACATTGTGGCAGCCACATTGGTTGCACAACTGGCACCATTTTCATTTTGGACTTGGCTGGAACTTATCATAATGATTATCCATTCAGGGAAAATGGTAACAAGACTTTTAAGAGTAGACTGTTCTATGGCATTCATATCGGATGTACAACAGACATAATTTTCACTAGGCTTAATTAGCTTACATAATAAATCTATTGGTGAAAACCCCATGTAAATATAGACATCCAGTTGAAGAGGATCATACTTTCAAGAAAGGAACATTCAGGTGGAATAGAATCAATAACATGATTTTCAAGATGGCTGCTAATGTGGCCATATTGGATGTCAGTTCAGCACCATTATCATTACGACCAACTGAACATCTTAAGAGGTCTTCTGGTAAAAACCTCACATCAATAGGACTTTCAATTAGACTTCTAACGACTCGATTTTTACCAGATCTACCATAATGACCATAGTAGATATCAGATACCGACCATTTCTTTTTATATATATGTATGCATGTATGGATCTATAGGTATTCTGTAGGTATGTATTTATGCATGTATGTAAATCTTAAGAATTTATGTGATTTCTAAGATAAAATAACATTCATATTCAGCATGAAAAGACTATCTGTATGCAGCCATGATTTGTAACATAACTTTATTCAGTCAGTTTTGCATGTAAAAATTCATAACGGTCAGAGCCTACAATTTGCAATAAAATATTTGCATTACAGGCCTTTTCTTCTGTATTCATTTTAATTAAGAAAAACACAATCAGTAGTCATCTTATTGTTATCAAGGTTTGCAATTCTAGGTACATCTTCCTTTATTAGGTATCATATTTAGATACAAAACTGCAGAATAACCAGACTGCAATTTGCATTCATCTTTTTCACATATTGTCTGAAATCAATAAAAATATTTTGCCATTATTACCATTACAAGGCTTGAGCCAGATGAAGATAGGAATGTAAGTGAAAGATTGGCTTCACACCTAATTTGGCTTGCACCGATTTCCTTATGACAATTTTTTGTTTTGAATGCTCCTCTTGGCTTTCGTTACACAGGCAATGAAACATGTATCATGAAACATTTTATACAATCTTTTCTTATGAATACAATGTTTTGTTAATGCTGTTCATTGGAGCCCAAAAAAGGGTATCATGTTATATGTAAAGCTGTCATGTATAAGGGGATCAACCCCGATACCTGTGTAGAATTCATGAAGTGTATGTACGACAGTATAACGACAGTGTTATACGTGAGACAGTTATACTGAGACAGTGTTATAAGTGGGACAGTGATATATATGGAGGAGTATTATATGTGAGACTGTTATATGTAGGAAAATAGTATATTTGGGACTGTGTTATACTGAGACACCTTATAGTCAGGGACAATTGTAAATTTTTAGTTAATGACAAACTGCAGACGAGGAAAAATTATTGTATAAAGTATGGTTAGATCTAGTGACCATGGCACATTATGCAATTGAATGTTTTGCTGTACATTGTTCACATCTGATATCATTCTTAATTCATACAGTTGTGAGAAATCGTTCAAGTTGTGTTGTGACAATGCAGATTGAGGCACGGTGAATAGTAGCACCAGTAGTCAATTTAAAGATTTTTTTTTTATGAATGTTATGTTTCGCATATATTGAAAGATAGAATTTGTGTTGATTTGCTAACTGTGACATTATTACTTGTACTTAAAGTACAGTTCTCAATGTACAGTTCTCAATCTGTTGTGTGTACAGTCATGAAACCTGAGCATGCTACTCATCACAGTTGAGCATACTGCTCATATTCAAAAAAGGCAACAGTGACCTAATTTTTTTTGCTGTACCAACTTCCAAAGCAATTTGGATTCTGCCAGGACTTTTCAGTAGAGACTTAGACTTGTACAGGTTAAAATAGAATAACAAAAGTTGTTTATCTGTGCTATTAGAAAAGCATCAGCTAATCAATTTGTCTGCCTTACAAATGTCTCTTTAGCAGCTAAATTAAATTCTCTAAGCGTAGTAATATATGTACTGGTATTTATATTAAAGACAAAGAGATATGATTTTAGATTTCCTTTCTTTGGTTAAATGGAGGGGGTCAAAAGTTCAGATTTACCAGAATTTAATTTGTCATTTATAAACATTATTTGAAGACTCATGCATTGCACTGAATCTAATTTTAGATACATGTAAAATGGACAGACGAGCAATGCTGCAATTGGGTCTCTTGTTGCTGGCAGTTCCCATTCAGTACCTTGTCACAAAGATCGCAATCTCTACAGAGGCACAGAGGAGCTATGCCATTAGAAAGTATGAATAATTATTTCATTTCTTAATGTATATTGATGTGTTTTAGTTATATATGAAAATTTATTTTTGCTTTATTTTTTTATAATTTTTAATTTACATGTTCTCAATGGCTGGAAATGTATATTTCAAGCTGAACAGAAGTGTTGCTGTGCTAAAGGTGTGAACAATTATGTAAGGTTTTTGTCAGGTTGATTGATTAAGGAATCTGCTGGATCCTGTGAGCCAATTATAATAAATAAAAGTACTAGCATTTTAATGGTGGGTTCTTCCATTTGGAAATGTCCTAAAGATATTTGAATGAATCTGGGTGGAGTCTTTGAAGTTCAGGGAAAAACCTGCCTATGAAGACTTTTTTTTCTGACTGATTTGGAATGGGTATATGCCCATCATTTTGTGAAAAAAGTTGACCATTTGGAACAGAATTTTTAGAAGAATGTTGCACAAATTTGAAACTCTTAGATTTTTTAATTACTGTTACATGAAAGAGATTGTCACCTGAGAACTGTTAAAAACTTAACAAGTAATTTGAATGCATTGATGTTGAGATTTAGGTACCTGCTTTGCACATCTTCTCAGACAGTATTAAACAAGTGCAACATGTTTATATGAGCATGTTTCACATTTGTGTGGTTTAATCTTATACACACAAAGAAAGAAAATGTAATTAGGTTTTGAAAATTAATTGCATTCGTTTTCAATTGAATTTTATGAGCACAAAAAGAAGTCCTACTTTGGTATTAATAAAGAACTAGGGAGTTGGGTCCAAAGATTGTAACTTGATTAAAACCTTTGGTGATTTATGCTTGATTTATAAGAAACCTATATGCTCCATGTAAATTACCTAAAATTTGCATATTTAATGAAATAAGTGAAATGTCAGCATATACAAATATAAGTAAAATGTAAGGGGAAGATATGTATGCATGCATAATCTATATTTCACTTACAAGTGACATGAATTGCAAAGCTTTTGCAAATAGATGTTGAGAAAAATAATTCCAAGTGAATTAGACATAACTGTGGTACAATAAGAAATTTTCTGAAAGCAAGGAGTCAGACCTTTTTGATATAGCAGTCATAGTGTAAACCAAAAAATTGACATTCTGAACTCTATGGCTACTCAGACCTTGGGCTGTAAAATTCAGTTTTCACTAACTAATCTTAAGCCACAATACCATCCCTCAGATTCTTAAGATAAAATTTAGGATAGAAGACAGTTTAACCAACAGTAAAGGTATATAACAATAAAAGGCTATTGAAGAATTTTTAAATAAGATCTTTGCATAAGAAAAACCCTAAATTTGTTAACATTAAAGGAATCTTTGTGACATTATTAATTTGTACTTGAGCATTTATGTTGCATTCCATTAATATGTTTTCATGCAATAATTTAGAAGCATAATTTTTTTTATTTATCAGAGAACTGGCACACTTTTAATACATTGTGTGCTAAGTATAGGTAACCCTGGGAATCTGTTCCCTGTTTATACTAACACACATTATGCACATAGCTAAAGAAAGGGCTCCATGTGTCCAACTGTAAAGAGTTTTAGAAAAACACAGACTCATATTCATCTCATGGTCATATTTGTCCTAAATAAAAATATAAATAAAATCAATAATAAATAAAATCAAACATTTAGTATGGCAGCCATCATAAATATGTTATTACAACTCTACAAGAACAAAAAGTCATTTTGAAGTAGGGCTTCTCTTGAAGAGACTTTTTACAATGCCAAATTGATCTTAAATGAAAATGGTGCCAGTCTGACTTTTAGTATTGCTGCCAAAACAGCCATCTTGAGAATCTTATTATGAAAGTCATAAATATGAAAATATTATCTCTACTCCTCTAAAAGCATTGATAAAAATGGCATTTTTAGCAACAGATTTCTTAAGATTCATAGTTGGTCCTAAATGAATATGGTACCAGTCACATGTGCAATATGGCTACCACAATAACTGCCTTAATAGTCTTGTTGTCACTGCTCTCCCTATACAGATGATCATTTTGACATGGAATTTTCATTAAAATTCGTCTAATGATGTCCACTTTTCCCTAAAGGAATTTGTGCTATGCTGACATCCAATATGTGTATCATACTAGCTAATTTGTTAATACTGTTATTGTTGAAGAATATTAAAGATGGTTTCAACAGCCAACAGTAACAAGGAAGAAATGATTTTATTTTGAATTCCTGAAAATTCATTTTGCCCATCTGAGCATCAATTCTTTCAAGGAACTCATGTTATATACATGTAGCACTGAGGTTATTCAC